TCGATGTACTGACCTCAGGCCCTCCTTTTGTAACTGATTAAAAATTAATATAATCTTTTTCATTCAATGTTGTTCTTCTTCCAAGTGCATTGGCCTCGTTAAGTAATCAAACTTAAGATTGATTGAAGAATTAAATAACTTTAACTTGATATCACAACTCCAATCACTTAAGCAAGTAAATTGTACTTAACCCACATGAACCATGATTGATATTGGACTTAAGCAAGTAAATTATAATTAAGCTTAATAACTGTGATCTGAATAGATCTTAAGACTGGACCGTCTTTCAGCTGAACTGAGAACATTGCTATGTCTGATTGAAAAGGTAGTGCGTGAAGCCCATTGTGGTTGAGCTTTGTGAATCAATGGGCAAAGAAGTTCGATCCTTGTTGAGGCTTTTCCCCTTGACATTCAGCCTCACCAAAGGGAGGCAAGTTGCGTGAGCCTCGGAGTTCAAGCGAGGTAGTAAAGAGATGGGATGCTGACCTTTCCTTCTAGGTGATGATGGTTCCCAACATGGTGGATGATTCATCCATGTTGAGGCTTCTCCCAATGGCATTCAGCCTCACCAAAGGGAGGCAAGTGGCGTGCGCCTCAGAGTTCAAGCAAGGTGGCCTAGAGATGGTGCTGACCTCTCGTCCGAGGTGACGACGCTTCCCAACATGGTGGATGGTTCAGGCATGTTGAGGCTTCTCCCAGTGGCGTACACCTTGGAGTTCAAGCGAGGTGGCCCAGAGATGGCGCTAACCTCTCATCTAAGGTGACGACGCTTCCCAACATAATGGATAGTTCATCCATGTTGAGACTTCTCCCAGTGGCATTCAGCCTCGCCAAAGGGAGGTAAGTGGCGTGTGGCTCGGAGTTCAAGAAGGCAGCCAAAAGATGGCGCTGACCTCTCGTCCGAGGTAACGACGCTTTCCAACATGGTGGATGATTCATCCATGTTGAGGCTTCTCCCAGTGATGATCAGCCTCTCCAAAGGGAGGCAAGTGGCGTGTGCCTTGGAGTTCAAGCGAGGTGACCCATAGACGGCCAAATACAGTTGAAGAATCTTGTCGAGCTTCAGTTTGGAGAGGAGGGAGCCTGCCCTAGGTGCCTTTTAAGGCCTGGAAGGCCTTTTCACATTTCGCGGTCCATTAGAACTTCTTCCCAGCTTTCAACACTTTGAAAAATGGGAGGCATTTGTCTGTAGCTTTGGAGACGGAGCAACTAAATGTGGCCACTCGCCCAGTCAAGCTTTGTATCTCCTTTGGCTTTTAGGGGGACCTTATCTTGCATAAGGCTTCAATCTTCTCAGGGTTGGCTTCAATTTCGCGTTGGTTGACCATGTATCGTAAGAATTTTTCGGAGGCAACCCTGAAAGCGTACTTGAGGGGGTTGAGCCTCATCCTATACCTTCTTAAGATTTGTAAGGTGTTGTTGAGGTACGTCACGTAGTCCCCAGCTTCCAAACTTTTCACAAGCATGTCATCTATGTAGACCTCCATTGTCTTGCCGATGAGGTTCACAAATATTTTGTTGACGAGCCTTTGATATCTGGCCCCGACATTTTTCAACCCGAAGGATATCACCTTATAGCAATAAAGGCCTCTATCTGTGATAAAAGAGGTGTGTTCCTCATCAGTCGGGTGCATGGGAATTTTGTTGTAGCCGGAGTATGCGTCCATAAAGCTCAACAACTCGTGCCTAGCCATGGAGTCTACTAGTTGGTCAATCCTTGGGAGTGGAAAGCTGTCCTTCGGGCAAGCTTTGTTGAGGTTAGTGAAATCAATTCATACCCTCCATTTTCCGTTGTGTTTCTTCACTAAAACCGGGTTGGAGACCCACCTCGGATAGGTGGCCTCTCTGATGAAGCCATTTTAGATGAGCTTCTGACCTTCTTCCTTTAGGGCCTCATACTTCTCAGGGTTGAGGGCTCCTCTTTTGTCTGTGCAGGGCAACCTTAGGATCAATTTTCAAGTGGTGGCAACTGACCTTGGGGTCTATGCCTACTATATCTTCATGCCTCGAAGAAAAGACATCAAGGTTCCTACATAGGAAATCCTTGATCTTTTCTTTCAAACTGTTGGACAAGCCTTTTCCCACTTTCAACAATTTGGATAGGTCTCGGGGGTCCACCAAGAAGCTTTCAAGTTCTTCAACTAGGGATGCTTGAGATTCGTGTTCAATTATGCGGGGTCAATCTCATCGATGACCAATACTTTCGGAATGGGTGGTGTGTCGATCATTTCCACAATTTTCGGTTTGGAGGGAGCATCACCTGGGACATCAGCCATGACTATGTCGACGATGATCACATGGACGTCCCGGGGCTCTACCTTTCTAATGGAGCCTAGATAGCACTCTCTCGAGCCTCTTTGATCACCTCTCACCATTTCCACCCCATTTTTTGTCGGGAATTTCATGCATAGATGGTGGATGGAGGTGACGGCTCCCAATTCCTTTAGAGCTGGCCTACCCAATACTCCATGGTAGGCCGATCGACTGTCAATAATAAAAAACTCCATAAAGTTCATTGTAGTTTGGGGAGACTCCCCCATCTCCACTACAAGGGTGATCTTTCCTCTTAGAGTGATGCTATCTCTGGTAAATCCGTACAAGGGAGTGGTGGTGGGCATCAACTCATGGTCCAGTATCATCTTGTCGAAGGTGGACTCGAATAGAATGTTGACAAAGCTACTGTTGTCACCTAGCATTCGTTTGAGCTCATTTCGAGCTATGACAACTCTCACCACAATTGCATTGCAGTGGGGGTAGTGAATTCCTTCAGCATCCTCCTGGGTGAAGATTCATCCGGGAGATGTGGTCCACAATATAGCTGGTAAACAGGGGGAATTTAGCCTCACAGGCGTAATTCCTTTTAGCGTTCCGCGTTTCACCGCCCATATATGGGTCTCCAAATATGGTATCCACCTCGTAGACAGGGACCTCATCCTGAGTTTTCCGATTTCTTCGATGTCTGTGCCCTTCCGTGGGCCTCTCTGTATCATGCTCCCTTCGTCGCGGGGAAATATCCTTTGATGGGGAGCGCCCTCTTCACGCCCAGGTCGGTTGTCATACCTAGGTGAAGGCCTATTCGCCTAGGGTGATTCATTTCTATCCCTAGGAGGTTCTTGTTGGGTACGGTTAGTATAGTCTCGACAGTTTGTTGTATCGTGAACAGGACCGGTGGTATATGCAGTATCCGGGGAGGTTCGAATTTGACCTATTTCTAGGTCCCGAACCCCGGCCTCGACCTCTTCCCCTGCGGGATCCTTGCGGAGTTCCCATCTGTTGGGTGTTAGTGACTGAGTTGATATCCTCATATGCTAAGGTTAGAACTGCATTCAGAGTGGTGGTGACAAGTGCTTGCCTAGAACTCTCATTACCGGCTTGGTTCATTTGATAATCCATCAAGTGGGAGGTCGGCCCTCTAGCACGCTGTCTTTGTTAAGGTGGGAGGCCTCTACTTGCCCTGTTCCTATGCTCAATCAATTCTTCATTGATGATCTCCCATCTCCTCATCTCGAGTAGGGCGTCATAGGTGGTGGGGTCTTGATTTTGCACGTCTCTCCAAAACAGGGTGTTCATGTTCAGGCCTCCTCTCAGTGCAGATAACGCCTCACGATCAGTGACTTGCACACAGTACGTCATCTCATCAATGGAGCATGACAGGAAGCTCTTTAGGGACTCCCCATGTGCCTGTCCTATATCTTGGAGACGTTGGATGGGAGCCTCTCTCTCTTTGCTCACAACGAACCTCTTCAAGAAGGTAGTCTTAAATTCGGGCCAACTTCTTATGCTCCCAAGTGTTAACCCACTATACCAAATTTCAGCTGCTCCGCTAATTGTTAAGTGAAAAGCTCTGCATTTCACAGCTGGGATGGCGTCCCTTAGGCTCATGTGAGTTTTGTAATCGTTCAGGTGCTTCTCAGGGTCACCTCTTCTATCATAATTTGGTATCTTGGGCATAACGTAGTGGTTCGAGACCTGGGCACTCCTTAGTTTCCTCAAGATAGCAGGTTTTCATCATCATCGTCCAAGTCATAGGACATCTGCTGCTCATCTGAATCGTTTTCTTCAGCCTCATATCTTGGTGGTTGGTGAGAGGTTTCGGGACAGTTCCTAATCTCCTCTTCCCTCCTTTGGCGCCTATTTCTAGGCAGTGCAGCACGGGGGGCATTTTCATGCCTTTCTTCCAGCTGTTGTTACCTAGGCCTCAGTTCTGTAGGGTTGATTCTGTCAAATACACTATCTGACCTCCTATGTCTTCGCTCTTGCTCATATGGAGGTGGGAAGTTATCATGGTTCAAAGGGATCTCGGTGGGTCACATTGAAGCATAGTTGGAAGAAACATCAACTTTCACTTCCTTTTCAAATGGACTTTTACCTCGGCTATAGTCCGACGAGACAACTCTCTGACTTTGAACTTCATCTTCTTGCTGGTAGTACCTTTGGGGGGTGTATGGAGGAATAGGGAAGCCTCCCTGGCCTTGCATTTGGGCCATGAGTTCCCTCATAGCCATGTTCTGGCTAGCGATGTCCCTCATGTTGGCTGCCATGGTGGCTTCCTCTTGTTCTTTTTCAAGAACAAATCTTTTTTTCAAGGGGGTGCCTAAATGTTCCTCTTCAATAAACTTTCACCATAAGGCTGTTCGTGGTTATTGTATAGTTTTCCACAGATAGCACCAATCTGTTGACCCCAAAATATGTTGCCAATAGATGCCGAACTCATCCGTGCACACGTGAGAGAAAGTCCAACACGCTAAGACACGTAAACGATCTAAAACGGATAGATCGAGGGCGTGGGAATAGCTCAACGACGCGGGACGAGAACGTTCGAAATTTGACGGGATGTTCGTTGACTAATTGTATAATAATTACCAATCGATGTTTGTAAACGTGTATCCAAATATGTATGAACTCGTTTGTGTTGCAAGATATTAAAAAATAGAGAGTTGAGTAAAGTATGATTTTTTGTATTGATTCTTGCATTAGCCTTTGTATGGGGTACATGGGGGAGCATTTATAGTGTCACAAGTTAGATCGTAACCTTTGGTTCGGGGTACACGTGACCTCATCCGGTTAATTTACATGTCAAACTGTAAGCTCAACCACACCTAGCCTGCTATACATTTATTGATTGGCAGAGCCACCTCTACTAGTGATAAGACTTAACATTTACACTCATGACAAACGTCCTATCAATCATTCAAATAAGATCTTTGTGCTGAGAATCTCTTGGGAAAAGCATCTATGGAAGATGCTGCTTTATGATTCGGAGGCTGCTACCTCGGTTACAGAGCTTCGACCAACAGGGCCTCGTCCACCTTCAAAGGGCCTCGGCATATGGGCTTCGGTAGCTCCTCAAGAGGCAATGATAGATGGGCCTCACCTTTTGTGGACCTCGATTGTGGGCCTCGGGTATGCAAATCACCTCGACTTGAGTGCCACGTGGTTCGGCATAAGTTGACTGTGAGTCCCGATAGGTTGCCCAAATGTGCAAACACGTAACAGTAGTAGTTAAATGATAAATACTATAAAAGAAACTTCATGGAAAAAAAATACAGAACAAGCTATGAACCTAATAAAATTGAAGGAAATATTTAAAATAAATAAAATACCTGAAGATAACACAGTTTAATTAACATCGAAAATTTTAGTATTTTCACTTCGGAAACGATATCTTCCAATCTGAAACAAAAAAATTAAAATAAATATAACATTTCATGGAATCAATGAATTCATATGGAACCCTTGAAATTATATGAGATGAACGAAAATCACTAACAAAAATTAAGAACATTAGATTAATTCATTAATTCCAAAAATTAAAAGCTAAGAAGAAAACATGCGCAAAACAAAAGTAACTAACTTTATAAAATTATACTTCCTTATAAGGTTTTATTGCTAGTACATAACAGCAAATAGTGTACAAACACACACACATTAAAATACAGGAAATCACAACTTTATACCAACTTATTTATACAACTAAAAAAAAAAAAAAAAAAAAAAAGGAACTCGAGAGCCATCAAATGGACAATTCCTACAAATGACTTCAAACAATAGAATCAAGCAAAAACCAACAACAATACCTCTTACATGATGAATGATATTTTTTAGAAGCAACTAACATGTAAAGACAACTTACTTTAATGGCTGTCAAGTCTCTTCGAATATGAATCTAGAATAGAAAAATGCAACAAAAAGAATACATTAAAAACACCATATGGATAGTATCTATGGATTTCTAAAAATGAAGGTATGACAAATGGTTTGGATATTAGTAAACATCAGCTACATATATGCACAGTTTTGTTTCAAATATGTCTGTGATTTGTAAATAGCACAGTAGCCTCGAATCTCCAATGAATGTATTAAAAATAGCATCAAGTGCTAGAGTGGTAACTAAGGGTATCATGTAACCATTCATGAATTTTGCAGAATAAGAAATATATGGTAGATGGATGAGCAATTCTGAAAAAGACTAAGAAAAACGTATATCGCAGCAATTAAATAATTACATGTTAGGTAGGGAAAGAAGATGCATAATTACTTTTCGATGGCAAAATACCAGAATATTATTAAAAGTTTGAAGAAGAAAAATGTTGATTTTAATTAACTCTATTTATTTATTTTAAGAACATGCTTAAAATAACTTCTTCTTCTTCCTCCTTCTTTTTTTTTTTTTCATAATCTGTAAATAAATAGTATGAATTGGTTTGAAAGTAACTAGCAAAAATGGTGAACTGTCCTAGATAAAATGGATAAAATATTATCACAATTAAAAATTCATACAACTCTAAATGAAGTACAAAAGCGGCTAAAAAACACAAGTCTGAAAAAGATGAATCTATGGATTTACTTAATGTGTCCTCCCAACTACTGCAATATGCCCAGTTAACTTTGATAGGCTTCCCAAACTTGAAAACCATAGAATACAACATAAATGTAAAGGTGTAAACCAGGCAAGATTACTTCAAATTTCAATGCTTAAAACTTACAGATGCTTTCAGTTGAGAGTTATTATTGCAAGTGAACCCGAACTTAAGACTAACGTGAATGTTCCTGTCACTTAGAATTCAAAGTTGGAAACAATAACATGATTGTATCCAAATCTATAAAATTTCCTAAAAGCAAAATCATTAAATACAAAGACCGTTTTCAACATAAGTATACAGTTAAACTATAAACCAGGGGCCCATTCATTTTTTTTTATATGATAATATATGTCATTCCCTAGTGTTCTAATCTTAATGATATTGCATACAATGAAAACACAGGTGACAAAGAACTGTATTCCAATGTTTGCTTATGCAAGATGAAAATAAACAGCTAGAAATGCTGAACAAAGTGAAAATGGTGAAAAAACTTTACCTAGCTGGATCTGCTATCTGCATATGATGCAAACAATAATTTATCCATAAGGTTCATCAGTGAGACGTGCACCTCACCCCTGGAATTATTATAACAGTAACTGAGGTTAATTGAAAAAGAATAGTACCATCACAAATTAAATATTGAACAGTCTATAAGTTAATATGACAGAACTTGTACATGCAAAAACTGCGACATTAATTATTTAAGACACCAGGATCATCAATGAAGATGCTGTAAAACATCTCAAGAGGACATGTGATGTGGTCGATTGAAATGCGAATTCTACCGACCTTTACACTCCATGATACAAGTGAAAGCATTAAAAAATAAAAGTCTGATATAACTATATTAATATGTTCATAGAAAACGGATCCCAAAATGGACACAGATTCAATGGTTAATTCTGACATGAATATAAACTTCTCCCTAGTTTAAGAATTTATTAAACTTCACACAGTCCAAACTCTCGTAAAGAAAATACTACGAAAAAGAAAAAAAATCATAAATATGTTTTCCTTTTAACCACCGAAGGTTGATACTTACGGAAAAAAGATAAGTCTATATTTAAAATTGATGTACATTCCAAGAAGATATAAATTTCAAATAAAAATATAATTCTGAAAAATTAAAATTAAAAAAATTTGTAGAAAGCTAAAAATTACAAAAATTAAAATAAAAATAAAAATAGTTCAAGCTCTTAATAAATTTAACATAAAAATTCTAAAAAAATATTTAAATGAACTCAAATAAAAATATTCTTAGTCCATATCATTAATTTTTATTTTTTTATTTCATATATTTTGAACTCAATTTATTATTTATTTTTATTTTACTATTTTAGCGAGAAGAAAATATTGTAAGATTCACTAATTTTAAAATGTATGTGCTACTTGATAATATATTAACATAAAATTATTCTATTTTTACCGAATAATCAAAACATAATGGAATAAAATGTCATAAAACAATGTTCAAAATGTCAAACCAAACATCCTTATGATTTTCTATTTTGAGAAATAATTTTTCAAAATGACAAATCAAACACGTTTTTAGCAATCTTAAAATGGACCCTCAAATAGAAAACTAAAAATAAACTGAAAACTAAAACACAAACCAAGCAGCATTGAAATTTCGCTTATTTCCAACTAAAAGCATTCTGTCTCATTCCCCAAGATGCAAGCTAAGAGCCCCAAATATAAATAACTTAAGACAGTCAATTGAATTGCTAGAAAAGCCTTAAATACCTAAAATTAGTTAAAGGAACAAAGTTAGCAAGCTTCCCGCATCCGGGTTCATCTTCAAAACAGTGTGTGTCAAGAGCAGCCCTCCAAACTTCTCCATCATGCCATACAACAGCATCTATGACAGGTCCTTTATCGTCATAGCTCTACACGTATATGCATGATTAACTATAAGAAAAAGGAGATATATTGTGAAATGTATGGGAATAAATCTTGATAAAACCATATAGATGCTCAAAAAAATCATAATTCCTCCAATAGGTTATTAAAGTACAATCAAACTCGTAGTTACTAATTTCCTAGGTGAAAGAAATATTTATTTACCATACCCAACCATTTCATTATAAGCTATTAAACTACTTCTAAATTTTGAACCATATAGTTCACTCAAAATGTGCGAACTTCTATAAAATGAGAATGAAACACCATCTTCAGCAGTCTTACCAAGAATAATCACAATTATTATGAAGTAATTGATTCGATAGCTGCAATAAACCATAAAATATATCAGAAAGTGTAAGTAAATAGATAAAATTCCAAATTAATCCACCACAAATAAACAGTTTCCAATAAAAAAAACAAATCTATTAAGCAAGAACTAAAACTTCTGGTGCAAATCAAGCTAGACCAAGCAAAAATCGAATTTTTTTAGCAAGATCAAGCTAGACTAAGCAAAAATCAACTAAAAATATGCTAGAACTATAGTACAAACTACAGCCAAAAAATAAATATAGTCAAAGACAACAGGAATCGGAAAAAATACATTGAGCAAAATCTGTGGCTTTCGGAGCAGATTGAAGTAAATTAAGAGTAACCCAACAAACTTTTCACATCTCACACAAGGAAAACGAAAAAAACTTCAAGCAAAATTACAAAAAGTAACAAACTAATCCACAAAGAAGCATGTATCTAGCACGAACTGAAGTTTGTCAGCTGGATCGAGCTAAACGAACAACATAACAGTAAAAAATAAGGAGAACATACTATAAAATGAGAGAGAGGGAGAGAGAACCGGAGATCTAATCAAACACGCAAATGATAGTAAAAGATGCTAGATGGTTTCTGGAAGCAGGAAAACACGCAAATTGATGAGAGTAGAAGAGGCTGGATGGTCTCTGAAAATAGATATTTTAGTCTCTTATGATACGACATTGTTCCCATTTTATGAACACTAGTCGAACGGTCCATTTTATGAACACTAGTCGAACGTATGAACAGTTAAATGACATTCCCTCTTTTATATTAAAGGCAATGAAATTGGCCTTTCAATAGATAAATTAAATGCTTCAGTTAATCGTCTCATAATTTCAAATGTTCTAAAATAGGAACTTAATAATCTTTGATATTAAGTTATACAGATACCGACACACAATCTATTTTTTGTATATGGATAAATTCAATAAAATCTACGTGTTCTAACATGACAGTATAATAACTAACATGAATGTTAGAAATAATTATCTATAAAAATGTACTTTACTAAAATTACAAGTTAAAAAACATATTATGCAAGAAATTACATAAGAATCTAGTTTTAACTATAAGTGAGCATGTTCGTAAACCGTTTACTTATAATTAAATGAGTAAACAATTGTTCATTTAAATTATTTGATTTAATTACTTATATGAATCGATTATTTAAATTATTTATTGAACAAGCAAAGGTAAATATTTAATTATTCATTTCAAATGTTAGAAATTTATTTCAATTAAACTTTAATTAATATTTTCAATATTAACATTTGTTCATTTATTATTTAAATAATCATGTAATTATTATTTAAATAATCATGTAATTATTATTTAAATGTTCATTATTTATTTTTGTGCATTTCAATTAATTATTTATTCCAATTATTTTTCATTATTTGTTTCAATTGTTCATCTAAATTATTTGATTTAATTACTTATATGAAAAGATTATTTAAATTATTTATTGAACAAGAAAACGTAATTATTTAATTCCAATATTAGAAATTTGTATCAATTAAATTTTAATTGCGTATTTTGATTAATAACATTTATTTATTTATCATTTAAATAATCATTTTATTATTATTTAAATGTTCATTATTTATTTTTGTGAGAAATTATTTATTTATTCCAATGGTTTTTCATTTCAATTGTTCATTTAAATTATTTATTGAACAAGTAAACGTAAATATTTAATTATTTATTTCAAATATTAGAAATTTCTTTCAATTAATCTATAATTAAATTTCAATTGCGTATTTTGATTATTAACAAATATTCATTATTTATATTTTTCTTTTATCATTTAAATATAATTAAATAATTATTTATCATTTAAATAATAATTAAATAATTATTTAAATGATAAAAAAATTAAAATAAAAAACTATTCTACAGACGGCCCAAACAGACGCCGTCTTCTTCAACACAAGACGGCCCCACCCGGAGATCACCATTTCCACCATTTTCGGCGATCTCCGGCAACAAACCTTAAGAAAACTTTATTTTTACTAATTTTACATATTCTACAAAGATTTCTACCACTATTTCCAACAAAATAAATCTTTAACATATATTAATGGGGGGAAAAATTATACAAAACTTACTTTCTTCGCTTATGTTAATAGCCAGTCGGTCTCCTCCCAAGAAAAACTCTTCAGTTTCCTTGTTTTTTCTTCAAACCCTTCTTTCTCCAGAGTCCAGCGTCGGTTTGTGAGAGTGAAATGTCAGGGGCAATTTTGGGTTTTCAATGTTTTTAAGGTTTTTACAAATTTTTGATTTTTTTTAAACAGTGGTCAACAGCCTTTTTGGAAAATTGTATATTTTTTGTGGCTATCTGCCACCATTTCCTCGGCATAAAGAAGACTCTTCTGTATTTTCACTTATCCTCCTTTTTTCCTTCACCCTTTTACGTGCTGCAATCACATCGCTACATTACTGAAAAATTAGATTACAAAGATTTCTACCACTATTTCCAACAAATAAATCTTTAACATATATTAATGGGGGGAAAAATTATACAAAACTTACTTTCTTCGCTTCTGTTAATAGCCAGTCGGTCTCCTCCCAAGAAAAACTCTTCAGTTTCCTTGTTTTTTCTTCAAACCCTTCTTTCTCCAGAGTCCAGCGTCGGTTTGTGAGAGTGAAATGTCAGGGGCAATTTTGGGTTTTCAATGTTTTTAAGGTTTTTACAAATTTTTGATTTTTTTTAAACAGTGGTCAACAGCCTTTTTGGAAAATTGTATATTTTTTGTGGCTATCTGCCACCATTTCCTCGGCATAAAGAAGACTCTTCTGTATTTTCACTTATCCTCCTTTTTTCCTTCACCCTTTTACGTGCTGCAATCACATCGCTACATTACTGAAAAATTAGATCTTGAGACCACTTCATTTTGGACCTAATGTTTTTCTTTTCAAAATATTTTTTGTTCAGGACCAGTACAGACCAAGGCTTGCACTGGAATTTTAGGCCTAGCCCAACTCTTTCATTTTTCAAAAAAAAAAAGTAGTAGGCTATTGGGCTTTCCTCTTGTCCAGTCCAAAGGGGGAAAAAATTTAAATTGGAACAGAAATTGACCAACCCAACCAATTATACATGTGCGCTAAAATTGAAACCACGACATTCCCAAATCCACTTCTCTCATCTTCTCAATCTCCAACTCTCCGCTCGGCGCTCTCGAGTCTTGTGCCTATATACTTTTATGTAGAATAAATCTACTCGTCCCTCTATATCCTTGAAGGTCCTGCGTCCGGCCTATCGTCTGGTAAGTGTGGTCCCTATATATTTTTATGCAAAGTAAATCTGTTCTGCCTCTGTATGAGGACTTAGTTTTTTGAATATTTGAGTAGAGATTTAATTGTGTGGGACCAAGGCTTGCACTGGAATTTTAGGCCTAGCCCAACTCTTTCATTTTTCAAAAAAAAAAAAAGTAGTAGGCTATTGGGCTTTCCTCTTGTCCAGTCCAAAGGGGGAAAAAATTTAAATTGGAACAGAAATTGACCAACCCAACCAATTATACATGTGTGCTAAAATTGAAACCACGACATTCCCAAATCCACTTCTCTCAGCTTCTCAATCTCCAACTCTCCGCTCGGCGCTCTCGAGTCTTGTGCCTATATACTTTTATGCAGAATAAATCTACTCGTCCCTCTATATCCTTGAAGGTCCTGCGTCCGGCCTATCGTTTGGTAAGTGTGGTCCCTATATATTTTTATGCAAAGTAAATCTGTTCTGCCTCTGTATGAGGACTTAGTTTTTTGAATATTTGAGTAGAGATTTAATTGTGTGGGTAATGTGTTCGACTTAATAACTTTGAACAGACTTGTTATTATGTGTGTTTGATTTGAATGTATGGTAATGATATGGAGGTTGATTTAATGTTTTGGGTACATAGAATTGAGTCAGTTGAGAATAGATTTTGCTTGATTTTACTCGATACGCTTATTGATCAAATGCAAAAATCATTAACAATCGGTTCTGTTGAACTTTTTTTTTCCTAAGCTCACTATGATTTATCAATTTATTTAGATATGAAATGAAGAGATTCTTTTAAAGGACATGATTTTAGAAAATGCTGATAGGGACCTATCGAATAAAGTGGATTTTGGTTTTACACAACTCTCCATTGATCCTGGACTAAGGATTACCAGTTTTAGATTACAATGCTAATATCCAAGATCAAGTTCGAATACCATATATGCTAAATGGTCCTTGTCCGCCTCAAGATCATGAATGATAGCACAATTGCTACTTCTGTATTTTCTACTATGAGATAGATTGCACAATCGATTGGGTGATTAATGGATGAATGATAGCACAATTTTTTATGTAGAGAAAGAAGTATTTTTGAAGATTGATAATGAAGTCATTGTACAACTATCAAAGTATGAAAACTTATAAGGAGTAATTATAATTAATAAACTATGTTAATTTTAGTATTGTCGTAATATTGTTTATATTTTTATCATTATTAAACTCATGGTCAAAAATTCAAAGTTTGGTGTTCATTAAATTGTGCCCGCACTGAATAATATTCCTGGCTCCATCCTGGGTGGGGAATAGGGGGTTTGGTGTGTGGCCAATGGTGGGTTTGCTTGGAGGGTGATCACTTGACTTTTTATTAAATAAATTTAATATTTGGTCTCGACAAAAATGTAATTTGCTTTTTGATTAGTCATATTCAGACAAATTCGAAGTAAATTCCTATTTTTGGCAGGTTGTTCATCAAAAGCATTATATTCAAGTTGTTCATTGACTGTCTTTAGCATTCTAAATAATCAAGTTATGAACAACCAAGTTTAATTGTAATATAATCTCCAGTCACACATAAAGGTTTAGGCTCCCTGGAACCTTTGATTTATTTTTTCTTCCTTTTCTTCTGCTTTTACCATTCAGTACAAGTGATTATTTACTACAGAGAAATGAAAGTCAGGGAGAATTATATAAGTTTTCCTTTCTTTTTGATATTTTTGTGGGTTGTTGAGAATTATTGTTTTTGTAGTTACTTGGGAAGTCTATAGGGTGGGGGGATTCAATTTACGAAAAGAAAAAGGGGAAATTTCCTAAGTAAGAGATTAAGTATAGCATATTTCAAAATTAAGAAAACAAGTTTCAAACTTCAAAAATCAGATTTTTATTAAATTTTATTTATGATTTAATTAATTAAATATATTTAGGTCACATATTTATACAGTTTGGTCACAAATTAACAATTTAATTAGCCACTTATTATTTTTTGGTCACAAATCAGAATTTTATATCACAAATTATTTTACGATCACAATTCAAAAAATTTTGTAGGTCACAATTTTTTCATCAGTCACAAATAAAAAATTAATTAGTCACGAATTAATTTTTAGTCATAACTTATCAAATTATTGGTCACAACTTATTTTTATGTCACAAATTAAAAATTTGATAGGTCACATATTATTTTTCAGTCACGAATAAAAAAATTTGTAGGTCACAGATTACAAATATTATAGGTCACAAGTTATTAAACAGTCACAAATTATTAATTTTTAGGTCACATATTATTTTTTGGTCATAATTTATCTTTTTCATTGGTCACAGATTAACCAACTGTCACAATCAACTAAATAATCTGTGACCATCACCAACACTTCCGACCACCACTTCAACACTGCCTCCAATAGCACCACCACCGTCACCGCCAAAATCACCACCACGTTGGTTACAAATTA